GTTCCAGAGGTTCCTTCAAAAAGCTCCAAACAAACTGGTTCTTGTGACATGGTCATATGGAAAATTCACGTAAAAAAACATAATGAAAACTCTGGCACCAGGGTTGTATTTTACCTTAGTTTCTTTCAATATTTAAGTTGTAAATTAACTCAGTTATAGCAAACAACTTTATTAATTATAAGATAGTAAGATATTATTTTATATACAAAATTTTCGAAACTTAACTTATGCTTTGAAAAACTTGTTCGCCGAAATTACAATTAAAAATATACAAAAATGTTACTAAGATGAACCAGTTTTAGGAGCAGAAAAATGGACAGATCAGCACTTAGAATTTATTTTCCTTTTAATTAACCTCCCAGAGTTTCTCTTTTTCCTCGTTGTTGCCTACTGGAAATTTTGTAAAAACTAATAGCGGAGCTCCCGCACGCGCAAAGCGCGCGCAGCGGAGCGCCATGGGTAAGAAAATTTGGTAAACTATCCATCCCAGAAAATTTAATTATGACGTAGCGTACGCCCGCCCGTCCGTACACACACTTCATGCAAGCCAATGTCAAATGTCACAATAGATCTTACATAACTTGACTAGCCTCTTAGTTATATAAGCCATCCGTATGAGTACGATTAGATTGACAGCTGTCAAAATCAGACATCCGCTGACAATTATCACATGACCATCTCGTGGGCTCAGATAAAAGACCAGTCATTTTGCCCCTATATATAAGCAGATGTAATATGTGACACTGACCAATTCAACATAAAAACGGAACTACGCTGGGCAAGGCTGTCAGTTGGCTGACAGTCGTTTAAAGTTACATTGACAAGCCAAATTAAGGTCAATTGACAGCTGTCAAAATGGGACGTGCAGACCACTTTTAGAAAACTAATAACGCAGGCTCAGGTTCGCTCAGGTACACGGTCTGGCATTTTCCTCTACATGCCGGACGGAAATGTCCTACTCACACTCGTAGTCTGTTAATTCGAATATTCGCCATTCTAATGAAGGTTAATTGACAGCTGTTGAACTAGAGTATACGCTGACCATCATCACCTGAGTGGATCGCGGGCTCATTTTTTTATCTATGGAGGTCACGTAGTGTTTAAAGTTTTGCGCTGATATTTTATTTGATCACGGGCTCAATTCGAAGCCCCATAGCTTTATAGAAATTCTGTCCATCCTAGAAAATTCGGCAATCACGTACCGTACACCGACCACCCAACCTTCCGTCCATCTGCACGACAGGCATACCAGTGTTTAATCTCACACTTTCTAGCTAGTTTGGGAGCCTGCAACCTGATATTGCACACCCATGTTTTGATTAATTGACAGCTGTCAAAACAGTGTTTCTGCTGACCAGTATCGCCTGACCTTATCGCGGGCTCAGGTATCCACCCTCTGAGTTTGAGAAATATTTTGAAGGTATTCGCTGACAAGTTGCTACTTTTCAAATGATCGCAGGCTCAAGTTCAATTTTTTTAAAATGCATATGAAATAAGTCGTGTTTCATGAGCCGCACTTTGAAAATGTTGATTTCAAACTGATCTCGGACACGAAAATTCAACCGGCTTTTACATTTACATGCAGGGAAGGCAATCGCTTTTGACTTTTCTCACTGTCACGCGTTGATCACGCTCTACGTCCAATTTTTATGTTCTGATTGGTCAAAATTTCACAGGTGAGTTTGTGCGGAAAGTTTATGCAGCGTCTGGAAACTTGCTTACTGATAGCTGGAGCTGAGAGAGTTTTGTGTCATCTTGTGATGTTTTAAACTGTCTTTTTCTACTTGGCGCTTTTTGTTGACAAATGCACCGCTTGTGAAAGTCATTGGAAATCCGATTTCGGATGGCATCGTTTTCAAAAATGAGCTTACTCACTTGCCCTTCCTTAAGGCGATTCTGGAATACTTGATGACCTTCAGAAGCAGCATCTCGATGGGTGTTACGAAACCTAAGACCTAAGACCTAAGACCCGTCTTCGACATTACGCAAACTAAGACCCCCTAAAATCGAAGTCGTAGAATTGTATGAATTAAGGAGATGCATGCCGATTAAGTCAAAAAAATTTTCATAAAATTCCTTTGAGAAGCCATCTTCACCAGGGGATTTATTATTTTGAAAAGATTTCAAAAGCTCTTTAATCTCATCAAGTGTAAGTTCGACCTCAAGAGCCATTGATTGTTCTACAGACAATTTAGGAATGACTAAGTTTTCCACAAAGGTGTTACAGTTCTCCCTGAAGTCCGTGAGATGAGAGTCAGGTAATTTTGTTTCAAGAAGATCACTATAAAAGGACTCTATTTCCTTATTTATTTGCTTCATGTCCGAAACAATTTCGCCGTTCACGAGTTTCAGTTGAGCTATAGTCTTCTTCTCGAAGTTGCGCTTTTCCAAATTGAAAAAATATCTGGTTGGTTTCTCACCTTTTTCAATCCAACGGGCTTTTGATCAAAACATAGCTTCCTTACCTCTTTTTTCGTACATATCCTTAAGTTCAGTCTTAATGGATTCATACTCATCTAACAATACTTGGTTGAAATAGTCACCTCCATGACACAATTGGTTGTCCAGAGCATCAAGCTTCTCCTGAAGATAAGTCTCCCTATTTTTCGATTCCTTACGTTTAGCTTTTGAATACGTTATTGTTTCAGTACGAATTTCCATCTTAATAAGTTCCCATAAGAGTTGAAGACTCTCAACTTCTTGATACTTAACTAAAACTCTCGGAACACATTCCGTGATTATTTCGATGTAATTATCATCCTCCAATAAAGTATTATTGAATTTCCATGTACCTGGACCTCGTTGGTACGCATCATTAATTTCTAAACTCAGAAAGATGGCTTTATGATCTGGAGCAATTGAAGATCGAATTTCAGCCTTCCTTATGTTTGGCTTTAATGACTGTGAAATAATGAAAAGGTCAATTCTCGATTTAAGCTTAAGAGGTTTTGATTCATAAGTAAACACCTTTCGCTTAGGATGTAAGGCACGATAGGCGTCAACAAGACCTAGTTCATCCATAAAATGAAGAAGAAGGCTTCTATAGTTCGTCCCAAACCATGGGCGTCCTCCGTATTTATCTATTGAGTGAAGAGTAGTATTCCAGTCACCAACAATAATAACTTTGGACGTGTTTGTGTTAGAAACAATAACAGTACATAAATTCTGAATAAAACAACATTGGTTTTGAGGGTCACAAGGAGCGTACACAGAGGCTAAAAAAAGATCCTCATCGCCTTCCCTAATTTTAACAATGGCTAGTCTACCATCTGGATCAATAAGCTGGACGCTAGATGAAAACAAAGAATTTGGTCTCTGTAATATGCAAGTACCTTTAGAGTGTTCTGTACCGTGTGAGAAAAATACTTTCCCACCCCATTCTGTAGCCCAAGAGACTTTGTCTCCTTTCAGTGAGAATGTTTCCTGGAGACAACAGAAATCAGCTTTTTGATTCTTTAGATACGAAAATAATGCCCTTCGTTTGACGTGATTGCGTAATCCCCTTACATTCAGTGATAGGAATTTGATAAGTGTCATACTGTATTATCACCTTAAATGCACAATAGTTATGCTAATATTAGGTTACGTTAACTAAACTCAACAGCCACGAATTAATCAAGAAAAAGAAAACAAACAAAGAAAAAGCAACAGAATAGATTAATAAGAAAAAGCAAAAAGAAAAACCTAACTTTACAACAAAAACTAATAAAGTACAAAAGTTTTTTTATGAAAAATACGCTTAAGAGACTAACCTTCGTACAATCTAAGCCTATGGCGAAATCGACCTCCCGTAATTATTGCATGGATGTTTGTTAAGCATTTATAATTCATCAAGATCATCTTCAGAGTAAATTCTAACAGGATCACCTGATGGTGAAGTTTTAACAAAGACCTTTCCGTCTGGTGTCCAAACACTTGATAAAAGTCCATCAGCCTTCATATCATTCGCTTGTCTTACTAAGTCTGCCCTATAAGGTGTGAGGTTTTCGTTGATAAATATACAGTTTTGCTTTGTTGCTGCTGAGGCATAACTGGGATATAAATCTGATATCTTTACTGACTTCAATTTCGTTTGCTCTTTATATAGCAGAGACTTAACTTTATGGCTACAAAATTTTACGATTATAGGCTTCATACCATTTCGTCGTCTTAGCTTGTGAGAGATTTCGATGTCCTTCGCAGCAACAGGGACATTAACAGCCTCAGCTACCTTGAGAACAACTTCTTCCGTTGAGGTGTAAATATTTTCCGGGATACCATTTATTTCGAGGGAATTTTTTCTCGAATATTGCTCGAGGTTATCAAGCGATTCAATCAACGAGTCGATCCTTTCCGTCTGCTCATTTAGTTTTGTTTTAGTCCCAAGTAGTTCTTTCTGAAGTAGAGCATTTTGCTTGTTAGCCTTTTCAAGAGACGCTTTAAGCTCCTTGAGTTCACGTTCATTGGATCTCAGCGACTTCTTTAGCTCCTCCATGCCTTCTCTAAATTTGACGTTTTCACTCGAGATGCTCGTAATTGAGGACTGTATAGTTGACAGCATCAGTTTAATTTCCAGCAGAGTTGGTTCTTCTTCAGAGGAGTCCTCGTCGCCGAATATACCTTCTTCCCCGGTTTCCTTAATGTTTGGCTTCTTGGCGGAATTTTCAGCAGAACCTGAACTAGAACCGCGGTCACCTCGTTTGTTTTTTTTTACTATTTTATGAGTGATTTTAGCGATTATCCCTCACAGACTATTTCTCCTTGCCCCCCACCCCTACCCCTCAACTACCTTTGCAATGTAGCATATTCTCCTTTTTTGCCCTTTTTATAAAAGCACTTTTCTATCTATGACCTGGCCAGAAAAGGAAAAAAAAAACGTATTTTTGTGGGATGTTTAACCGATAATGCTGTTGACCACTTAGTGATCAGGCACTCAGGTTGCAACGACATGTCAGCCTGCAACGAAGACAAAAATCCATCTCCAGTGGAAAACCAATTTTGTGACAAGAAAATACAAGGGC